AGCTTCACAGGACAATTAGCTGAATAGAAAATACCATCACTTTGAGTTCCTTTGACATATCTCAGAATTCTTTTTGCTGCCTGCATATGTAACTGTCTTGGAGTTTCCATAAATCTACTAATTAACCCAACACCAAATGTGATATCTGGCCTAGTAGCAGTCAAATAACGCAAGCTACCAACCAACTGTTTGAAAAATGTTGGATTAACCAAATTTCCAGCTCCATCTCTCTGTAGCTTCAATCTTTCTTGAACTGGAGTTGAAATTGGCTTGCATGACTCCATTCTAAAACGTTTGAGGATGTCACCAGCATATTTCTTTTGAGAAATAAAAGTCCCTTGTTCAGTTTGTTTCACCTCAATACCAAGAAAATAACACATCAACCCCATATCAGTCATCTCAAATTGAGATGCTAAGACCTCCCTGAATTCTGCAACCAATCTCATATTATTTCCTGTAATTATCAAATCATCCACATACAGACAGACAATAACAACATCCCCTTGCTGATTATTTTTTACATACAAAGTATGTTCATATGGACACCTTTGAAACTTATGCTCCATGAAGTAAGAATCAATTCTGGTGTACCATGCTCTTGGAGCTTGTTTAAGGCCATACAAAGCCTTTTTCAGCTTACACACCATGTCAGCTTGCCCTTGTTTTACATAACCTGCTGGTTGCTCAAGATAAACCTCTTCTTCCAAGGTTCCATTCAAAAATGCAGATTTTACATCCATTTGGAATATCTTCCAAGCATTATGGGCAGCAAGAGAAATAACAATTCTAACAGTATCAAGCCTAGCAACAGGAGCAAAAACCTCAAAATAATCAATTCCTGGTTTTTGCTTGTAGCCTTTAGCTACTAACCTTGCCTTGAAACGATCCACATCTCCATTCTGCTTGTACTTTGTCTTGTATACCCATTTAACTCCAATAGGTGTCTTTCCTTCAGGAAGAGAAGTAAGCTCCCAAGTGTCATTCTTTTCAATTGCATGAATCTCTTCACCCATTGCTTTAATCCAGTGCTCATGTTCACATGCCTCCTCAAATGATAGAGGATCACAATCTGCATACAAGGCAAAATTCACAATTTCTTCATCTGAGGCAACATTTCCTGTCATTTGATAATCTTGGAAACGAGATGGCAATCGATGCTCACGTGTTGACCTTCTTGGCTCAACTTCCTGCTGAATTTCTGGTTCATTTACTTGTTGATCATCTCCAAAATGATAATTATCAGCTGCTGGAAAATATGTTGCAGGTCTGCTTTCATTCAAGGACCAATCCCAAGTTCCTTGCTCATCAAAAGTGACATCCCTGCTGATTATAACCTTCTCTGTCT